CTGGGGACTGGGACTGGGAATCATGCTTATTGGAGGCGCTGCACACAACTCGACAATGCTTATTATTTTTATTCACAACAAACTTTCTTCTGAATGATGGGAGAAGTGATGGTGGTAATGGAGGGCACACAGAAGCCATAGCCATGCCAGCTTGGCCTTGCATTCTTCTTTGGGTTGGATCTAAGGTATTTACTTCACGTGATACTTATAACCAAAAGAACAAGAGGAGAAAAAATCTTGATGCAGTATATCTCCTGGGCCTTTCGATTTCCATATTTTTCGCATGCTGAAAAATGTGTGGACAACTCTCCAAGTTAGAGTACTCAAAAGTTTGGAAAAAGATGTTCCTGTCCTTGTCCCCTGTATTATTTTGAGGAAATAATTACAACTTTTATCTCTCTTGACTCTGTTATTGTGATGTTAGTAGAAATGTAAGAGACCTTTTGTGAAAATTAATGAGTTGTCAATTTTAAAATGATGTTAGTAGAAGATTTGGTCTTCAACTCAAATAAGAATGAGAAAGGTAGGAGCATAAATTTTTTTTATTCTTTTTAAGAATAATGAGTTGTCAGACATTTAACGACGATAAAGACAAATATTTGGTTATCAATGTTAAGGAGTGAAAGTATTTTCCTTTTCTTTGGAAATACTGATCTCTTAATGGTGAGGAGCAAACTCGTTCTCTTAAATATTTGACAATCAAAAATGAAAAATACAAAACCATAAACCTTTTAAAAAAGATAATGAGTTGTCAAAATTAAAGATTTGGTCGCTCTCGAGGAATCAAGTATTTTCATTTTTTCTTTTTTATTAAATATGGCATTGATTTGAAATTTGAAAACTCAGCATTTTTTTTTCCTCTGACAGAAAAAGTATCTCTTTTTCTATCTTTCTTTCCCCTCAAAATTATATAATAGTAGTCAACACAAAAGATAGTCTAACTATGATAAGTAGTTTTGATAAACAATTAAAGGCAGCCCCATGTTTTACTAACCACTGCTAAAAGAGATTATACGCATAACAATAATATGTATACATAAAAATATCATTTTTTTTATATATATCTGATGTGATTCTATAAATTTGGCCATTTTTAAAAATTTTAAACCTAATAGGATATATATGGTAGGAAAGATAAATCTAAAAAGATAGGTGTGAACGGTAGTTTTCCTTTGATGATGTAAACATGGAGTTTTATGGCTTTAATTAGTCATTTCTGCAAAAATAGTAAGTCCTCTTCTTTTTTATTTATTAATTAATAATACAAATTTATAGGAGATAGATATAAGTTTACTTTTTTTAATCTAAAACCTAGAACAAATTTCTCACGTGGTTCCTAAACTTTTTAGATGATATTTACAAGACGGGAAGGAAATGTCATTTCAATACTTCGTCTTGATGCATTTTTTCGTGAGTCCTACCTTTTTGGCCTGCTGAAAAAAGTGTGGACAAGTCTTTCCCAAGCTAGTCGAATACTCAAAACTTTGGAGTAAAATGTTCTTGTACCGTAAAATTTTTAATACCCCACCTATAACTAGAAGTAATCTGAAAATTGAATGAATGACACTGCCAGCTTTGACATGGTTAGAAATTTAAAGAATTCTTCATTTCTCCCCTCATGGTCAATAATGGTCAATAAGAGGAGCGTAAGTACGGTTTTCAAGTATATCAAGAAGATTTTCCGAAAATGTGTGGTAGTTTGGATAAAAACTAGTGGTATTCATGAATTGGACTAAGGTTTCTTTTAGACTCAACTCAATTATTTGGGTCGTAAGTTTATAATCCAAACCATTTTTGAGTTGGGTTGATCGATTTTTTTAAACACTCATAGTAAGAATAGTTACTTAAGTTAGAACCCATCTTTTGCTAATCATTATTAAAAAAAATTACAAGATATCATTGTTTTTTTTTTTCAAAAGTGTCATGAAAATAGTTTTTGTTGGTCTGGTGTGATTTTATAAATGTTCAATTATTTATATATATATAGATAGAGGTGTTAATGGTATTTTTCTCTTCAAATACATATTTCTTTTGCACCATTTTTGTAATTTTTCCTTAAAATTTTAAAAAGATAAGACTTTTCTGTGTTTTCCAAAAAAAATATAAGAATGTGTTACCAACTAGATAGGTGTTGATTGTTTTTTTTTACGATGTAGATAGATAAGTTTATATATTTTCAATTTTCTAACCTTCTAAAAACATAAAACTAAAAAAGGTTACTGTGAGAAAAAATAGTTATCAAAGCTTTTATTTTTTAAAAATAGAAAACATAAAAGTCAAAAACAAAAAACAAAAATCATTATCAAACCGTCCAAAAGAAAATCACAAGAGAGAGAGAATTTTGTTCTTTATATTGAAAGTGATCCAAGTGAAAGAAGAATGGAAAACTTCTCCACACATTTCTCTCCCTCTTTTCTTTAACACTTTGTTGTGTTCTTTTTGTGGCATTTTAAGATCCATTTCCACTACTACCTGTCTTTTAAATTTCATTTTAATAAATTAATTTGTCTATTAATATTTTTGATGAACCTCACCTGTTCAATATATATAACCTCAAATTAGAAAAACAACAAAATTATTTCATTTTAATAAATAAATTTGTCTATTAACATTTTTTGGTGAACGTTCAATATATATAACCTCAAATTAGAAAAAAAAAATTGAATTTGATAATCGTTTGTGTTTTTTAAAAACATAATGAACTTACTAGCCTAATAGATTTTTTAAGTTATCTTAAGAATTAATAAACCACGACTCAATCTAAAAATTTAAGTTGATAGGGTGGTAAATTTAATTTAACAAGTGGTATCTAACCGGCTAAAATTTAAAAGAAAAAACTAGATGAAGAATTTGAAAGTAGTTTAGAAAGTGGAAAATTTGTTCATTTCATGACTCAGCTCGACATTTCTATATGTTGGCCGGTCCTAGAACTCCTAAATATCGACGATACATTATTGACATTTCACAGTACCGTCAAAATATAGTTGAGAAAATTGAACTGCAAGCCTTAAACCTAAGCCTTATCCCCAATATATAAAAGTTAATGTAATTGATGAACAAAAAAGAAGGGAATGGATACCTTATCCATTTTGTCATTGATACTAGTAAACTATTCTAGTCAGTAAGAGTTCAACGGGATCTACATTTTTTTTTCTGATTCTAGGAGGATCTTGTTGAGTTCTTGGTTCATGTCTACAACTCAATTTATCTGATTATTACAGAAATGAACGTAATCTAAAATATGAAACATGAAAGAAAATACCGATTAAACCAATCACAATAACACGAGTCACAATGCCTATTATCCACAGAGGAATCGGATTCCTCTAGTCTGGATCATTTGTCTCATTTCCCTCTACCTTTCATCGAGTGATCTTGCTAGAGACAGAAACGGTCATAGATAATAATTGTGAGTTGATATCCTTCCAAATGAGATAAAATAATCGTACTATTTTTTAGAATTTCTTTTTAATTTTAATTGAAGAAATAATTAAAAATTTCATTTCTCAAACCTGGTGGACGTGGGATGCTAACTCAAACAACACAAATTTCATGACTTTTTTTTTTTTTT